GTGGTGCATAATCCCAGCCCTCTAGAAGCTGAGGCAGGAAGATAACCTTGAGTTTGAGGCTAGTCTGGACTATTGTACATAATGAGTTCAAGGCCAACCTGAACTATGTAGTGTAACACGTCATCTTGCTACATAGACCAGGTTAGCCTTGAAGTCATTATGTAGCCCAGGTATTTTGTGTCTTTTCAATTTTTTTTTTGAGATAGGACCATGTTGGCTTTGAACTTACTATGTAGCATTGAACTCATGGCAACCTTCCTCAGCCCCCAAGTGCTGGGATTACAAGCATGTGTCACTATGTCTGGCATCTTCTGCAAATTTTGGAAAGGATTTAGCCACTTTCTAAATATACTTTTGTGTTTTCTTCTCTCTTTCGTTCTTAACTTTCCTTCTATGTTACCCATCCTCTTTGTGAGCATCTGTCCATTTTTCTTCTTATTTCATAAGTATTAGAAAATATCCATTGAGCTATCTTCCAAGTTTCTTTTTTTTGTCTTTTCTTTTTTAAAAAGTAACTATAGAATTTCCATTTGGTAAGGTTTGCTTTTACTGTTGTGAGTTATCATCTCTCATACATTTTGAAAATAAACTTTTTTTTGTATATTAGGAATCAAATGTGGGACCTTGCACTTGTGAGGCAGGTGGCTGAACCACTGAGCTAAATCCCTGGCCCCAAAGTAAATATTCTTAAAGGAGGACTAACTAAGATAAATTTTTTTCAAACAAGTACCAGTAAGGTTCATTTTTTTTTTCCTCCCACTACCCAAATGATATTCTATAATTATCCCAAGGTCTCCTGCTCCCAGAAACCTTCTCCTTATTCAGTATAGTAATAAAATATCACTAACATCTGTTTATCCCTCTTGGTTTAAAATAGTAGAAATCTAAAGCACACTGACAAGAGAAAAATTTTAAAAAGCTATTTTACTGAATTCTAACGTTGTACCACATTCTTTTCCTTATTTCCATTTAGTCTTTTTTCTCCCCTTTTGGTCTTTATGCTTTATAAGTTGATATGTACATAGCTGTTTTTTTTTTTTAATTTGAGAAATGGCTTCTTTTAAAAAATTATTATTGGTAGACATTCCTCATGGGGAGTTGATATATGTACATAACACATCTTAATTCTTTTTTAAATCTCATTTTCCTTCCTTCTGCCCCTTCCCTCTATCCATTGGTTCCCTTCCCTTTTCCAAAAAAATTGTATCTCTCTGTTTCCCGTTATCTATGTTTTATTGTGCTTTTTATTTATATTTTGGGTTCATATAAGAGAAACCGTGTGATATTTAAGCTTGCGTGTCTGATTAATTTCACTTAACACTATGTTTTTGAGTAATGTATATTTTCCTATAAATGGCTAAAATTTATCTTTAGGACAAAGTGGTATTGTGTATAAATACCACATTTTCTTTATCTGTTGATGCTTCCAAGATTTAGTTATTATGAGTTGTGCTGCTATAAACATGGGTATGCATATGTCACTGTAATAGGTCTTTTGGGAAGATGTCTAGAAAGGGGATAGTTGGGTTGAATGACATTTCTATTTTTAGTTTTCTGAGGAATCTCCATACTGATTTTCATAATGATTGTACTAGTTTACATTACCACCAATAATGTAGAAGTGTTCCCTCTTCCCCTTGCAACTTCACCAGCATTTGTTACTATTTGATTGTTTGATAATAGCCATTTTTTCTGGAGTGAGGTATAATCTCAGTGTTGTTTTAATTTACATTTCTCAGTGGTGTGGTAGTACACACCTGTAACTTCAGCACTTGAGAGATTGAAGCAAGGTATCTCCATGAGTTTGGCTCCAGCCTGAACTACATAGTGAACTCTTGCCTCAAAAAACCCAAAAATTTGATTTCTAGTTCCATTCATTTTCATGCAAATGACATTTTATTTTTCTTTATGGCTCAATAGTTCTTCTTTGATACATAATATCAATGTCCATATATATATGTATATATATATATATATATATACACACACACATACATACACACACACAAACACATGCACACATGAATAAATACATCTGTATCAATCTATATCATATTTATAACTACAGTATATACTTCAGTTTTTATCCACTTAGTCATTTCAGTACATCTAGGCTTTTGCATAAGTTGTCAGTTGCTTATTTTTATCTTTTTTTTTCCTCATTGAGTTTATTGGTACATTTTAGGTATACAGAACAGTTACATTCATTTTTGGGATCTTGTACCTTTACGTGACAGGTCTTGGTTCTCATTTTTTTCCCCTTGTCCCTGCCCTCCCTTCACCCCTCCTCCCTCCTCCTTTATAAACACTTCATTTCCATTTTCTCATATCTTTTTCTCTTCCCTTATTAGTTTTCCCCTACCCTTCCTACTTTCCCTAGACCTTTAGCCCCTTTCTTCCTATTTCACATTGTCCATTCTATCATTAGGATCTTATGTACTATTATAGTTTATTTACACCAGAGAAACTATTCGGTATTTACACATGTGACTTATTTATTTCACTTAGGAGTATATCTTCAATATGTATCCATTTTCCTATGAATAAGTTTATTTTTATCTTTGAATTCATTAGTTATTTTAACAATCAAGCTTTCTTTAACTCTTTGACATTTCCTACACTTGTGTATTTGTGGATTCACCTGTATATATTCAGTGTGTATGGTCTTTTAGTGATATTTTACTTCCTGTTTTCTTAGATTTTTAAGTTGAGATTTGCACATCTGTTGAGAAGGATATCATTTCCACTATTATGTGAGAATTTTGTAGTAAGCATCTTTCCCTATGATGTGCTCTGGCCTGTGGCTATATCTGTGTCAAAGACCCCACTCAACATGTTCAAATCCCAGATCAGCTTTGAGAGGAGATTTAATAATTAGTATTAACAACTAAAAATAATCTATAAGACTGTTTAAAAACTTGCTAAAATTGATTTCTTCAATTCCATAAAGCTGTGGAAAGAAATGGGAATATTAGAATAGACTAAATAAAGTTATGTAGTAATCATATTAAAATTATTTCTAAAATATATTTTAACAGAATAAGATAAATAAAAAGATGAGGGAAGCAGATAACGTGAAAAAGGACAGAAGAAATAGGGAACAAAACTTAATGTATTAAAATATATAAAATGTTAACCAGTGGGGGAAATACTTAATTGGGGAAAACAGCAAAAGAACTCTTGAGAACATGATAGAAATTAAAGAAAAAACTAAAAAACAAGATTAAGATTATCCTTTGCAGAGGTATTGAAAATGTGAATTATTTCCTGGCTGAACTTCTGCTATTGAAATCTGCCAAATGTTAGGAAGAATGTGGAACACTTTTTCATCCAGAATGTTCCTTCTTAGCTTATGTTCAGACAGGCAGAATCACTTAAAGGGCTAAGATGAAGATGACAGTGATGGGGCTCAATTTACACCCAAAGTAAATTCGATGTTTTAGGCATACAGCAGTAGGGGCTATAGGTAAAGTTGGAGCCACTTGAAGACTCTCACTTGCCTGTCCTGGAGTTGATCCAGGTTTTGGGTCTCAGGTACTATAGTTCTCTAGCTAGGACACTCAGAAGCATGGTTGACCAGTATCCAGCTTGTGGCATCATGTACTCTGAATGCCTGAATGGGGCAGAGTTTGCTGTGCCCTTGGGTCTACATTGGGGTGAGAAGTGGAGGTTACCAAGCTTTCCACCAATTCCAGCATAAGATCCTGGGCCCAGAATACCATGAATCTGTGATCAACTAGTCTCTGCCCCTGATAGAATGTCAAACTGCAGTTTTTAAAAAGTACAATGTGCCTCAGCTTCAGTTTCCCTCTGCTACCCAGCAGCTGAACTCTGGTCAGTAGACTGCACTTCCCACTTCTCACCAGCTCACACCTACCTGGCACAGTGTATTTCTTGCTAACCACCCCTGTGTGTGCTGCGTTAACATAGTTTTAACTTGTTGAAAATCTTATTTTTTTCCCAAATAATCATGGTTCTAAAATTTTCTTGCATTTGAAAAAAAAAGTGGTGGAAAGTTTTGAAAAAAGGATAACAATGAGAAGAAAAAGTGAATATCATGCTGTGCAAAGACTGCACACTGTGAGGCTATAGGCCACAGGAGTAGGTTAAAATTCTTTTTTTTTTTTTCCTCTCATTGAATTTATTGGTACATTTTAGGTGTACAGTAGTTACATTCATCATTGGAATGAGTAGGTTAAGATTCTGCTTCATTTTATCTTTTGTGTTTGTTTTCTCTGTGGCCACTGATATGACATTGCTGATATTCCATCTCTGTGCATTCAGAACTGATACAACTTCATTCCTTTACAGCATCTTTAACTAGATTTGCTTGATAAAAAATCCTGTCTATCACTTCTTTCTTATAAATTTGTTTCTCTATCATTAAATATCTTCATGGGGTTTTCTAAATAGCTTGCACCTAAAAAAAAGGTGATGTTGATGTTTTTGTTGATGTTTTTGCTAATTAAAAGTTAAAATGCTGTAAAATTCATTCAGTCAAATTAATCTCTGATTTCCTCCATGGTGTTCTACCTTTCTGTTTTCTAAAATATGGTGGTCTCTTTGGACCACTGACCTTACCATCACAAGTGAGCGTGCTACACATTCTGACCACCCACAGCATTCTCTAAGTGATGGAATCAAAATATGCATTTAAAGGAAATCTCAAATGTATGGTTTTAAAATCTTAAAATTTGAGAAGTACTCTCCTAACATGATGACTTTCTCACTTGAGAAAAATTTAGAACTTCTATAAAATATAAGCACAGCACTCAAAAATGTACTTTCCTATGTTTTAAATTTAATCAAAGTGTAGTCCCTACACTGGTTTTGTAAATCTGATATCATATTCTTAGCTCCAAATTAGATAATACAGCATCTATTCAAATAGGTTTTCCACCTATATCTGCAGCAATCCTCATTCTTGTTTTATATTAGATCAAATTAAGAGCTTTGCTGATGAACACAGAATAAATGTGATTTTTAAAAAAATATTTCAGGAACTGTTGACATTCAAGGATGTGGCCATTGATCTCTCTTTAGAGGAGTGGGAATGCCTGGACCCTGCTCAGCAGAATTTATATAGGGATGTGACGTTAGAAAACTACAGAAACTTGATCTTCCTAGGTGAGTCTAAGTTCCTGTAGAATTCCTAATCCACTATCAGTATTTAATTCTCATCCTTTTTAAAGAATGCTTCCTGGGAGATTCTGATTTGTATGAATGAGTTTCAAGTTCCTACTTTCAAAGGAAAAACAATGGACGTCTCTTAGTGTAGAAACAAAATTTTTCATGTCATTGATTCTTCTGCGTCCCTCTGTCTTAAAGTGTTATCTATCCTTAATGTGCATTGTGATAATTGTAGAAATCCTCTTGCAGAAAATAATGTGGCCTTACATTTAAAGCTCATTTCTCCCTTTTATTGTTGTTTACTAGTTGAAAGTGAAGTGCAGTATGTACAAATTAGAATTGCTTTTTATATAGTCTAATGGGTGCGTGAAAACATTTGGAGAAATCATTTTTGAGGATCTTACATGATTTCTTCTCTTTTGACTATAGTACTGGGAAAGAAATGTCCATTATTGGGAGACTGTAAGGTGAGTGTCATATTCCATCTTCCAATCAATAGGTCTAGCTGTCTCTAAGCCACACCTGATAACCCTTCTGGAGCAAAGGAAAGAACCCTGGATTGTGAAGAGTCAAGATATAGCAGCCATGCATTCAGGTTCGTGAGAATTATGCAAAGGACATAGATGAGCATTTCAAAGGTCAGGAAGAAATTCAGGCTTTAAACAGTAGATTGAGAAGTTCTGTTTTAGTGGAAATGATATTTCAGAAGCTGAAATTTATCTCTTATACTATAAAAGGACATTTCCTGCCTTGTGTTTCATGATCTTAAGGCCTCTAAGGCTTTTCCTTTCCCTCCAGTGATTTCCTAAGTCATGGAAGGGACAGCTAAAGCTCTCCCTTTCATTTGTGAGGGTCTGGCTTCTTACCATTTGTTGGGCCCTCAGAAAAACTGTGCTCATATCAAAGCCTCTATGTTCATCAAATGCAGTATATTAATGACATCATAAAGAAGATTCTTTAATACAGTTGCCATGTTATTACATGTGCAAAAAGAATACTTCATGATTTGAATGGATATAATGTGAAATTTTTATGCCATATACTGCGTGCCACTGCAATCAAATGGCTGTTTTCCATGGTATGTAGTCACATCTAAAAATTGCCATTGTCTAGAATAATTTTTAAAGTGTTTTTTGAGAATTTTAAAGGATACATTTTCTTTTTTGTGATTTTATTTTCTGTGTTTCAATTAGAGTAGGTTCCCTCAGGTCATTTTTTTTTTTTTAACAGTTTTACCCTGTATATCATGAGTGGTGACAATTTCATCTTTTGTTGCTGCTGTTGTTGAGACAGGGTCTCATTATGCAGTTCAGGGTTGCCTTGAACTCATGACAGTCCTCCTGCCTCAGCCTCCCAAGTGCTGGGATTACAGGCATGTGCTGACAATTTCATTTTATATGACATCCTTTGCCTCTTATGACAAGTTTTTGAGTTAAATTGTGATTCAACTTATATAATTTTATTTATTTTTTATTTTTTTGGTACCAGGGATCGAATTCAACTTATATAATTTTAAAGTGTATTTTATCAGCATAATTTTTGGCACTCCTCTTTTGGACATATTTGTATGAAACATCATAGCCATCCTTTCATTTTCTGATTTTAAGTCCTTGTATCTAAGAATCTTCTTTTAAAAAAGAATCTTTAGATGTATATTTGGATTCTTTTACATTTATGCCAAATAGTGAATTCACTATTATGACTGTAGTGTTTTAATTCATTTGCATTTAAATAAATTACTGAAAATGAAGAAATGCTGTCTCTATATTATCTGTATTTCTTTGAATTATTTAATTGCTTTAGTTCTTTGATTTTTATAGTGACATTATTCTTCATCTCCTATTTCCTTTTCTTTTCACCTTATGTAGGCATTTAATTTCACTGGGATTATATATTAACTTACAAAACATTTTAAATTGGTAGCATATTAATTGGTAGGTATAAAAATACCATGTTTAGGGCTGAGGATGTAGCTCAGTGGTGCCAAACCTGACTGGAAAGCACAGGTCCTTAGTTTGATTCCCGGTACCAAAGAAAAAGAAAAAAGGAAAAAAAAAACATGTTTATATCTCAGCATTGTTACTGATGTCACAACCATTATTATATTGTATATATATTAAAATTGTGATGTTTTACATACTTTTAGCTTTCAAATTATATAGCAGATTTTGAAATTGTTTTTCACCTTCACGTTAGTACTACTGAATTCTATGTGTACATATATTTTTCTGAGAGATTTTTAATTTCATGATGTGTGATGCTAGACATCATTATTTAACTTAAAATGAGAAGGTCTTCCTTTAGCATTTCTTCTAAGTTCTTATGGTGATAATTTTTTTGAGCACTTGTCTATCTTGTATGTACTTTGTTTTTCTTTCATAAGGCCATTTTTCTGGATGCATTATTCTTGGCAGTTTTTGGCTTTAGCAGCATTTTGTTTATATGCTCCAAATTCTTTCTGGATTTCAAGGAATCTGCAAAGAGATCCACTAGTAAATACATAGGACCGAGTTTATAGATGATGCATCATTTTTCTCTTGTTGCTCTGAAGTTTCTCTGACCATGACTTGTGAAAGTTTGATTTTAGTGGGTTCCTTAAATTTACCCTTGTTGGTGATGATTGAGCTACTTAAATTTAGATGTCTTTTTTCTTCCTCATATTTAAGAATGTCTCAGGCATTGTTACATAATGAATTCTCAACTACACCATTTATCTTGTTTTTATTTGAAATTTTTATCTATTGGTATTATCATTTTTTGATTTCCTTTAGTTTTTTGTTCTTGTTTAGCTAATTATCTTTGAAATTATTGTTTTGAATTCTTTAGGTAAGCATAAATATCTTTTTCCTCAGCATCAATTTCTGTCTTACTTTGTTCCATTGAGTAGCCAATGTTTTTTCCCTCTCTCTGTTATGCTGAGTTAACTTGTGTTGAAATTTGTGTACTTAACCAGCCTATTGTATATTAATATGATCATTATGGAAAACAATATGAAAGTTGTTTAAAAGATTCCAAATATGTCTGGGAATATAGTTCAGTTGTAGAACATTTGCTTAACATGCAAAAGTCCCTGGGACTGATCCTCAGGAACAACAACAAAAAGGAAAACAATCATGTGATTCAACAGTACAAAATGTGTAGCTAAAAGAAAGCAAGTCCCTTTGTTGAAAATATATCTATCATGCAAAACCATTCATAATAAGGATGATATGGAATCAAAGATCTTTTCAGTGAATAAATGAGTAAGAACATATATACACATATAACACGAATTACTATGCAGCCATATAAAAAGATGATATTTGTCATTTGATTCAGAAAACACCAAAATGCAGGAATTTATAATGATTAAAGTATGGTCATTGCAGTCAGTTACTGTATAATCTCAATTATATGTAAAGTCTAAGATAGTTTGTTTCTTATAGTATAAAAAAGGGTTATCAGGGCTTATGATGTTTTGGCAGGGGGCTACTGAGGATCGAACTTGGGACCTTGTGCTTGAGAGGCAGGTAGTGGCACCAACTGAGCTAAATCCCTGAACCTTGTTATGAGTTTTGCTGGAGGAGTTGAGATGATATTGGTCAACAGTTACAAAATTTTAGATAACAAAACTTTAAAAATTCAATAGTCTACACTATGATGAGTATAATTAAAGTATTCATTTTTTGTATATTTCTTCATAAGATGCCATATTGATTTCTATACCTGTTGACAATATGCTATCATTTTCCTACTCTTAAAATTAGATTTAGTATCAAATGACCTGAATTGTCATGCAAAATATACCTGTTAACACCTACCCTGTGGTTAAAGGTAGATAGACATCAGTTTTAATACAACTCCCATGAAAACCAGAAATGTGTCCATATGTTACATTCTTCTCTATGTTTCCTAAGGGACAGTTAAAGTGTTGGGGAGATTTTTCATAATTGCCCAATGCTGTATAGGGAGAAGGAAGATTTTTGGTTGACAAGGTTAACTTTTACTAGTAAATTTCATTTCCACAATTATGTGACTCCCCTTAAAGTGGTGCTAAACTGGAGTGCTATGAACTTTTAATTGGTTTTCGGAGTTCTCACAAAGGTAATCTGATCAGCATTTTATTGTTCAGTTTAACTATCTGTGGGGAAGTGAGGACCTTGTGTGTAGTATTATATTTTCCTATATTATTCAGCTTGGTGTAATTTTGGGGGGGTACTGGGGATTGAATTGAACCTTGCGCTTGCAAGGCAGGCGCTGACACCACTGAGCTAAATCCCCAGCCCGTAGATTGGTGTAATTTTATTATATCTGTAAGATACATTGATCTGAGTCTAATAAATGAGATAATTTGTTTTTTTTTTTTCTTTTCAGCTATGTCTTATCATATTCAAGGGTTTTCATCAGAGCAGGGCATAAAACATTCATTCCAAAAAGTGATGCATCAAAGATATGGAAATTGTGGCATTACCAATTTATACTTAAGAAAAGACTGGGAAATTGTTGGTGAGTATGACGGGGAGAATCAGTGTTTTAATGGACATAACCAATATGTGACAACTAAAGACAGTGGAAATATCACTGCCAAAAATGATAATAAACACATAACATCTCAGAAAATACTTGAATTTTTGCCACTTACCTTGAATGACCAAGATGTTTCTCTAAGTAAACATTCACATCCAATTATAAAACATAAACTTTCTCTCAAAGAAAATTTGGAAAAGCCAAAATTGGATCTAGTCGATGGTTCAGTTAACTATTTGAACAATTTCAAAGGTAGCATTGGATTAAATTTTCATTCAGGCATTTCTATAGATAAGAGATCAAAAATGGATGAAAAAAGTTCTAAATATTGTCAATTTGATAAAACCTTTAAGAAAAATTCATTATTCTACAATCAACAAATATGTCTATTGTGTGCAAAAATGTACAGTTTGAATAAATACAGGGTGTTTACACATCCATTAATGTGCAAGCAAAACCCATATATAGATCTTTTGGAAACTCATGACATCTGTAATGAACATGAGAAGGCCTCTTGTGAGGGGTCTACTCTAAATAATTACCAGGATATTTATGCTGGACAGGAACTTTACCAGTGTAATGAAGTTTACAAAATTGCAAACCATGACTCAAACCCCAGTAAGCATCAGAGTACACATTTTCAAAAAAACATTTACAAATGTGATAAGTGTTGCAAAGTCTTTGACCAGTGTTCAGAAAGTATCCATGTTCAGCACAAGCTTTCTAAGTCTATAGACTGTAGCAAAGCATTTGCTAATGATTCTGCCTTTCATAAACACCAGAGAATTGATCCTGGAGAGAAACGAAACAAATGTAAAGAATGTGACAAAAGCTTTCATCAGAGCTCAACCCTTAAGAAACTTTATAAATGTAAAGATTGTGACAGAGTCTTTAAATATTGCTCAACACTGATTCGACACCAGAGAATTCACACTGAAGAGAAACCTTACAAATGTGAACAGTGTGGCAAGGCCTTTAAATACTGTTCAACTATTAATCAACACCAGAGAATTCATACAGGAGAGAAACCCTTCCAATGTAAAGAATGTGGCAAAGCTTTTAATCAACGGTCGAATCTTACCAAGCACCAGAAAATTCATACTGGAGAGAAACCCTTCCAATGTAAAGATTGTGGCAAAGTCTTTTATCAAAACTCAGCTCTTAATCAACACCAGAAAATTCATACTGGAGAGAAACCCTACAAATGTAATGATTGTGGCAGAGTCTTTTATCAAAACTCAGCCCTTAATCAACACCAAAGAATTCATACTGGAGAGAAACCCTACAAATGTAAAGAATGTGGCAAAGCCTTTAACCAAACTTCAACCCTTAAGAAACACTACATAATTCATAGTGGAGAGAAACCCTACAAATGTAAAGAGTGCAACAAAACTTTCCATAGTTCCTCGAACTTAACTCAACATGAGAGAATTCATACTGGAGAAAAACCCCACAAATGTAAAGAGTGTGGCAAAGCCTTTGATCGAAGTTCCACACTTACTCAGCACCAGAGAATTCATACTGGAGAGAAACCCTACAAATGTACCAGATGTGGCAAAGCCTTTAATCTAAGTTCAAGTCTTACTAGACACCAGAAAATTCATACTTGACTGAAATGCAAATATAATGGTTGTGGCAGAACCAGCGAATAGATTATGTATTAGAAACAGAAATGTAATGCATGTGGTAAAACCTTTGATGAAATGTCAGCCTTTACTGGACACTAGAGAACACACATGGGGAAAAGGCTGTACAGGTGTAAAGATTATGGCAGAGCCTTTAATCAAAATTTAAAGCTTATTATAAATGCCTGTTTTTTAGTTCCATTTTTGTAAACTGGATAAAGAACAACTTTTAGATTAGTCATTGTATCAGAAGAAAAATTTCTCATGGTTATTTGAAAGTTTTTTTTCATAGAACGTGAATTTTGAATTATTTTTTGAAACTTTGTAATCTTTTAATTTTTTACTAAAGAAAAAATATTTAATGTATTACCAGTTTTGAGTATGGAACAGCAGATTATTTTAACAAGGACATTAAATTTTCACAAGATTGCAGCTATCAGGTGTTAATAATTGTACTGTTGAATTAACAGCATAGTGACATTTCTTGCAGTCATTTTCCTAGAGTCATTGAACTTCAGATAATTTGGAGACCGTTATTTCTACAAGTCATTTTTATTCCCTACTTTTTGTAATTATTGGAAAATTGTGGTGGATGTAGAAATACAAAAGAAAGCCCTTGCTTTTGTGGTTAATATTTATATATTTTTATTCCTTTGGGGCTACAAAGGACACACAGATTTCATATATTATTTAAAAATAGAAATATTGTTGTGGAAGGAATTGGTAAATGACACACAGAGACCCACGAGTGGGTAAAACAACATTTACTTTGCTCGCAAAGGGTCAGCCTGCACCAAGGGCTGTGCCAAATGACTGACGCCAGGCTGGGTTACAATCTGCCTTTGTTGTAGTTTTTTTTTGTACCAGGGATTGAACTTGGGCCCTTGGACTTGTGAGGCAGGTGCCAGAACCACTGAGCTAAATCCCCAGCCCACAGTCTGCCTTTTATAGGAGTTTTATAATCATGACCTCATTTTAGGTGATGAGACATTCTAGTTCCCACAGTTCCATCACAAATCATGGTCACAAGATAGCTTCAATGTTAACCCAAATGTAGCATTTTCTTTCAGATGTTTCTTTAGCTATTCCAGCCCACAAGAGTGGGGATCAGGGTTAGGGAAGCAGGACTGGTGATATTTTTTCATCTTAACACCTATATAGCCATATGGTTTACAGAAAGTTATAGGGCTCAGGGATTGTTAGCTTGAACATCTGGTCGCATCCTGGGATGTGGCTAAGCACCTCCGGCATCTGTTAATTTTAAACTGGGGTTACATGTCTTTAAGTTTTAATGGTGAAACCTTGGGTATTTTGTTAAATAAGCAAAGCAAATTACAGAAGCAAAAAGGTGGTGGTTATTCTGTAATTTTTAAAAACTTTTTGTAGGTTTCAGACTATTTACAGAAGTTCTTTTTATAATATTACTATTTTTTTGTTTGTTTTTGGTACTGGGGATCAAACTCAGGACTCTGCACTTGGGAGGTAGACACAGACACACTGAGCTAAATACCCAGCCTGACATAATACTGTTTGATAAGCTTCAGGCATAGGGAATTGTAGAATTACTGAATATGTGTGAATTTATGTATGTCATCTGTTGAGAATAAAGGGAATTTTTTAAAGGTGGTATTGTTATGTAGTTTAGGCTGGCCTTGAACTGTGTAGCTGTGGGTGACCTTGAATTTATGGCAGTCCTCCTGCCTCAGCCCCTGTAGTGCTAAGATTATAAGTATGTTCACCATGCACAGCAGAAAGAGAATTATCAGAACAAAAGATAACTTGAAAAGACTTATTTATCAAAAATATCATTTTTCCCTTTTAGAATCTCCTTCTGCTATAAATCATTTTTTTTTTTTTGCCTGTTAGTCATGAAAGACCTACTACAGTCGACCCTTGAGTTACGACCAGCCTGATATCTGAACAACTTGGGTTACCACTGGAATTGTATTAAAAACCAAAGTCTTGTGTTACAACCTAAGTTCTGGCCAGTTGTGCTTCCAGATAATTTCAAATGCACACTTAACCCTAAAGAGTTCTGGAAGGGACATTACAACATCCTTACTGTGTAGGGTTATTTGAGAAATCCTAGGTCAGTGACATTGAGATCTGCCTATATACAAGACAGAGACTGAAGGCTATGTGGAGGAGCCTGAGAGAATTACAACCAGCTCTCAGAAACAGATTGAGTTTGTAAGTCAAGGGTCCACTCTGAATCTTAATTGAAGTTTGTGAAATATCCTTCACAAAATGTAAGAATTTTTTTATACTTTTGTTCCAAAGTTAATTTGAAAATATAGTTCATGGTAATTATACATTTTCTTTAATTCTACATTCCATTATTTTCTTCTCAAGAACACTTTCAAGTTATTTTAATTTACTTTTCTGATTAATGACCATAGAAAATTTAATGTATTTCTTGAGCCAGTTTAAATGATTTCTGAGACGTAATGAATCATGTTTTGAAATTTATAAGACATAAACTCACAGAACAGTTCTAAGCATATAACAGATACTCACCTACCTTGCAAGCACAAGGGCCTGAATTTGATCCCTGGTACAAAATACATACACACACACACACACACACACACACACACACACACACATACACACACACACACATATTAGAATGAGTTCATTACTTTATGTAAGAATGAAAAACCCAAGGTAAATAATGATATTAACTTTGTGTATGGAGAGCTAATGCGTATTCTATAGATGCAAACATGACAGTTTCTGAATAGGAGAGGGTTTATTTTTTCATGTTTTAATCATCTCTAGTGTGTCATTGATGTATTTTCTTATAGATCTATATGTCGTTGATGTACTTCTTCAGATCTGTGTGTGCATTGGAGCTGTTTTCCTTCATTGCCTGTATTATTGTTCTTGGTTTCTTGTCCTTTCCATTTCACGTCACACAGAAATTTTTAAGTTGAGCACCTTTGAAATTTTCTACTTGTAAGGATGAGTTTCCACATTTTAATACATTATCATAATTATAGTGTACAGTATGAAATTTAAATGCATATCTACATTATGTAATCAAGTTACAGTAATTGCAATGTATATCACCTGAAACATTATGTCTTGTGAAAGTAGCCAGAACCCTTCTGGCTAATCTGTTGTATATAAACACATTATTAGTTGTAGTTGTTCTATATCACAGAACACTCACTAGATCTTATTTTCCTTATCTTCCTATACTTTTGGCATGTTTACTCATTTTCTCCCCTTTCCATTTAATTTCTTGTCTTGTATGATGGCTTCATGGAATTGCGGCCCTTATTTGTCTTTTTTCCAGGATATTTAGAATTTTTTGCAGTGCTAGTTTGGTATTTGTGAAGTTTGTCAGTTGTTCTTTTTCATGAAAGTATCTTATTTCTCCATCAATTTTGAAAGATAATTTTACAGAGTACATCAGTCTGGGTTGGAGATTGTTTTAGGGCTTGAAATACTTCACTTCTGGGTTTTCTTGATGTAAGGGTTTTTATGGAGAAGTCTGTGATTCTGATGGATTTTCCTTTGTATGTGGTTTATTTTTTCTAATTGCTTTCAATATTTTGCACTTCTGTTCATTTTCTGGAATCTTGGCTATTACATGCCTAGTTTGGATTCTTTTTGATCATGGCTAGCTGGAGTTTTATATGTTTCATTTATCTGTATGTCATTTTTTTCCCATTTGGGAAATTTTCTGCCATTACTTATGTGAACTTTTTTTTAATGTCTTTTGCACTATCTCCTGCTTTCTCATTGGCTCCAGTCTGTCTAATGTTAGTCGTCTTTGCGTCATCTGCTAACTGCTGAATCGTTTTCTCATATTCCCTTATTATTTTTACAAAATCTTTATTTTCTTGGTCACTAACTGTAATCCTGTCTTCCATATCAGATATCCTGTCCTCACATTGACTCATTCTGCTGTGTATACTTTCAGTGGCATTTTTAATCTCCTGGATATCTGAATTTGTTTTATGGATTCCATTTCTTTCCTATTCTGAGCCTTCATGGATTCCATCATGTTCCTGAGCTACTCTATTTTTTAAGTCTGTGTCTGCTCCAGAGTTATAAATCGTATCTTTCATTATGGTCACTATCTATTTTTAACTGAGAAATCATTTCTGATTTCATTTTTTCCAAATCCTCTTTCATTGCCAGTTCAGGGAGTCTAGGTGGTTGAGTTTCATATTGTTCCATCTCATTGCCCTCTAGATTTCTCTTTGGTGATCTGGAAATTTGGGTTTGTATCTTATTTAGGCATCTTTTCATTTTTATGTTTTAATTGTTGTTGATGTTTTTTGTTTAATTCCTGGGTTGCTACCTGTAAAATGCTTACTACAAGTATCTTTCTTTCTAGTATTTAGAACTCTTGGGGAATGGCTACTTCCTGGATTGTCCAACCCTTAAGTAATCTCAGTCCTGTCACACCAGGAAAGATATTTGATCAGAAAAATCCTGTTACCTTGGTCAAGTAATACAATCTGCATCAACAACAGCAGCAGACACAGCCCAGAAATTGATAAACTGCCAGCCACTGTTTGACACCTTTAACAAGACCTGTGGCCACATATCAAAATTAAGGACCAACCAGAAGTATGTTACACTAAGCAAGCCCTTAAATATAGTGGCCTTACCCTTTGGGAAGAAGACTTAGAAGGAGTTGGGCTGGGAATAAAGAGATAAAAGGAGAGGGAGAGGTTAGAAGTAGGGCCAGAGGAGACAGGAAGATCACACAAACCTGGGGAAACTGGTGAAGGTAGGAAGAGATGGAAGGAAAAAATACAAAACAGAACAAACTAAGAGAGGGGAAATAGAAAATATATTTACTATAAGAATAAGAACAATCGAGAGAAAGCAAAAAGAGAAAAAAATAGGATCACAACAGGATCAAGAAGAGGAATGAAGGAGAAGGCAAGAGGGAAAGGGGGAAAATGGGGGATCCCCTTCAAAGCATATTTCTGCTGTTGCTGGTAGAGAACATGGGCAGCAGCCTATAGATCCAAGGCAGATAATCTCAGTGAGTCCACCATACTCCACTGAGATTTAAGCTGGTTTCTGGCTGCAAAACTGGAACTGAGTTCCCTGATCTCTTGTTTCAACTCTGCACAGTTCTACTGAAGGTTTGAGCTGCCCTTCCCCAACAGCAAGTCTGGGTTCCAATAGGAGATGATAATCCCACTCTTCCCACCAACCACTGTATTCCACTGGGTCTTCACTACAGTGTCTTATCTCTCCTTGTGGCCTTCAACTTTC